TTGGAGCTTATATGCAAACTTGTTCCAGAACATGCTAGGAAGCAGTGTCCTTCGCTTAACTTCTGAGACTGTAACCGCTATGCTGACTGCTGTGCACTGCAGCAACTATTGTATCATGTTTGTCCCGCATGTTTTATGTAGACAAAGACGACTACTGTATTATGATCTCTTCCGCGTTATCATAGGATATGCTCATCTCTTACTTCTGGCTTTTATAATTAGACACTTTTTGGTAAACTTGAAATGTGTTGCTTGAGATCATGTTGGAATCTTTTATTTATACCGCCCGTTGCGCTTTGAAACGTGTGTTTTTAAATTTAGATCCTTTTCACGGAGTTTCCATGCCTACTCGAGTGGGATGTCACCCAACACCTGTGAAAATTTATTTGATAGACCCGGATTGAGTCCGCTCAACAATTTCTGATGCTGAATGGTCAGGGTTCAACATTGTTTTACCCAGATTCAGAGATTGACTCTCTAACTAATGTGTTTTTTATTTCAAAATGGCTTTAATAAATAAATTATTTTATGTTTATTTGTAAGTGAAACATTTTATTATATAAGGATAAATATGAAAAGTTGGTGTTAGTTATATTCAGTAAAAAATGCATTGTGGTTTTTACCCAAGGGTACAACTCATCAACATTCATAGTTAGATGAGGCTGCTCTAATTTTAATTGTGTTTGTTACTTGCATCGAAAATTAATCTTGTTGATATTTCAAAAGTTTGATTGATGAAACATTATAACATTTTTAGTCAGTACTATAATTAAGATATGTGATATTCCCTGATATACAGCATTGTTAGATTTCCTTTTTCTGGTCACTATTGTATCTTGAGCTATCTTCTCAGGGCGAAATCTTTATTTTTCAAGCTGTAATATGTTTCTTAATTTTCCTTTCTACTTTCGAGGTTTGATTTCTCTTTTAATTGCCTTCATAATTTTCTATTTAAAATTATTTGTTTACGTTTAGATCAAATTTCCCTGCCCCCTTTAATTGTTATAGTGATTTTCCGATTGTCATTAACAGTTCATGTGTTAGGCATTGTATGAGGATGTGCTTTTTTTTTTTTTTTTTACCCGCAAAAGAGAAAAAAGTAGAAACGAATTACAAGTATATAATAACTAGATAAATTTTCTTGTAATTAGTTGAATTGCTTATAACTCTATGCAAAGAGCATGACTTATTGTAAATCTTATTATATATTGAATATTGGTATATTAGTTTTTTTTAATATAAAAGAGCAGTTATATTAACAAATAAAATGGAGATACAAAAACAAAGGTTGGAAATTTAACGGTAAAAGCAGAAGCAGAAAAAGATGGTTTGTGGTTGGTATAGGTATAACTAGACTTTTGAAAAGATATAAGAGTAAATTGCCAAAGCATCTATTTTATGCCTTGGTAAATAGTACTTTAACTTGAAGGAGGAAGTAAATTTCCTTTTTTGAGTTTTAGCACCAAGTTACCAAGTTGGATATATGAATTCAGATGGTTTTGCTAGAAGCTATAGATCTAAAGAAGTATACTTTGAAGACAAACTACCATAAAGATGTTATGCTATCAAATCAGACCCATAAAAGATGAGATGCTAAACTTTTGAACCATTCAAGGAAATGTTCATTGAATAGTAAGGTTTCTTCATTTTCTTAAACCTGCATATGTGAATTTTCCGATATGGTAATTGATGCAATGATGTTCCAATCTTCTTATCATTTGCAAACTCTGCATTTTGTATATGATGACTTGAAAGCTCTAATTCATTAGCATGTTTTCAATTACAAGTAAATCTAATGAAGAATAGAACTTGCTTAAAATCCTGAATAAAAATATTTAGCTAATCTTTTCTTATTTTGATGAAGGGTAAAATTCTTGAATAGCCAAATTTTATGAAGTAGGAAGAAAATATTTATTAACAACTCTATTTCATAGTTTTGATACAAGACCTTTGAAACTGTCAAAATCCAATGAGAGAGACTAATTTTTGAAATGGATGTAGATCTAATAGATAGAACTCTGAACCATATAATTTTAATGATTGGACATTCACAAAGGATACGATTCATTTTTTTTGGGTGTCACAACCAAAAACACAATGTAGAGAGCAATTGAAATTATGAGTATTCAAAACATTACTTGTAGGAATAGCCATGTGAATAAGCTTCTGAATAAATAGCCGAGTCTTCTAAAGAAGGTGCAATTTTGCAAAGAAAATGCCAAATACATTCATTTACATAAGGGCTAGTTGTTGTAACAAGCGTTGACTTAGTGAAACCCTCTTTGGCAGAATAATGTCATGTACCATAATTGAGTTTATCCTTTCCATCAGTGAATGATATTGAAGTGCTAAGTATGGACTCAGTAGTTGCTTTATCATACAAAGCTTTGATAGTAGAATTATTCCAGCAAGAAGCAATCCAAGAGTTGGGAATTTCAATAATAAGATTAGATACTGTGTGAATATTTTAGCCCATTAAAAGATTTGGTTGAATGGGTTTTCACCAATGAGTATGAGTAAGAGAGATGGCTTCTTTATTACTAACATTCCAATAGAGATGTTTTTTGAGGATGTCTGTAGCCTTGTAGATCCCTGTCCAATTCCATGAAGCAATATAGGTAATTTGAAATAAGAAACATCAATATTTGAGCAATGCTTGAGTTGTAAAGTATTACCAAGAAGAGAATTCTCAGCTGTTGTCATCACCCTCCGGATTTGTTTAGCTCAAAAAATAGTATTCACAAAACTAGTTTTCCTTAAACCAAGGCCTCCTAATTTTGTTGGACTGAAAAGCGAGATGAACATTTTTCTTTTAATCGCAAATTCCTTAAAAAAATCAATTAACTTTGAATCAATCTGATTTCATAACCATTGAGGAAGCTTAACACAAGAAAGTATAGATATATTTGAAGCAGTAAGTATAGATTTGATCAAAGTAAATCTTAAAGTTTGAGATAAAAGCTTAACCTTCTAATATGCTATTATCTTGTTAGTATTAGTCATTACTTGTTCAAAAATTCTCTCTTTATCATTTTTAGCATCCATCCATATGCCAAAATATTTGCCAAAAGAGACTGCAAATTGAATGCTAAGAAAAGATGAAAGGTATTGTTCTTGAGGCAAAACATTTGGATTCAAGATGAGATATGATTTTTAGAAATTTATTTCTTGTCCTAACTAGGAGAAAAAAGAGCTAATTGCTTGTTGAGTAACCTCGATGCCTTCTCTTGCATATTTAAAGAATCTGGTAGAGTTATCAACAAAGAGGAGATGAGAGACAACGGTATATAAATCAATGGAAAGAAACGTTCTATTTTAGTGCAGATCTAAGCAACATAGTAGCAAATTTCTTTCCATTGGTTTCTGTACCAAAAAGGATAAGAATTCTAGCAAATTTTAATCGCAACCCTTAAATAAACCTTGTTGCTTTTTATGGATGAGAAGACATGACAACATATTTGCAGTTAGAAGGGATGGGCAAGGAGAAAGAGAATCCCCTCACTTAACACCATTATTGGGAGAAATTAATTTGGTGATTTTTCCATTAAAAAGAACATGATACGCAACAAAGGTAATACATTGAAGCACCAAGTTTACCCATTTATGTGGAAAGTTCATCCTTTTGAGTATAGCTTTCAAGAAACTCTAAGACAGTTTATTGAAAGTTTTGGAGAGATCAAGCTTTAAAGCACCTAATTTTTTCCTCTTACACTTAGTAGAATGAATTTGATGAACCACGTCTGTAGCTATCAGAATCCTATCAGTGATTAGCCTATTGGGTAAATAAGCACATTGAAAAGGAGAAATCAAAGAAGGAATAATTTTAAGAAACATTTATAAAAAAACTGATTGGCCTCAAGTCTTTAAAAGGCTTTGGGATTTCTCCGTTTGGAACAAAGGCGATGAGAGTTTCATTTAGATATTTTAAAAGATGCTTAGATTCTTGAAGAAGATCACAAAGAAGATGTCCTCAACTTTGATATCTTAAAATTTTTGAAAAAAAAAATGATGATTGAAACCATCCATGCCAAGAGAACTATCTTTAGGCAATCTAAAAACTAATTCTCTCACTTCCTTCAAGGTGAAAGGAGCTAAGTGTAAACATATCAAGTATTAATTACATGTATATTCAAATATTTGTAAAGAAATTAATTAAAATGAGCAAACGTGTTAAAGTATCAATCTATTTTTTTCTCTTTTAAAAATTCATTCATTCAATTACTTTAGTTGAACTTAAGAGAGATGAAACTATTAGAATAATCATGAGAGATAAAACCAGAAGAAAAAAATGAATTTTTACTTTTAAATTTTTTATCTTTATATAAAATTTTAATTTGATTTTTAATTTTTTAAAATATTTTTCAGCCTTTTAATTTTAATACCTATTGTTTTAATTGATAATTTTTTAGTCATCATTTTTGTTCAAAAAAATTAAATTTATTATGTCAATATTTAAAAATATTTTGTTAGTATATGTAAACTTAATTTCAGTTTTTTTATTAATAAAATTAACAATATCAATATAAGAAACAAAAAGACATCTTATAAAATAAAAAATAAAAAAATTATATAAAATTAATAAATAAAATTATAATATAATTAAAATAAAGTTAAGCTTGTCACTTTTTCATTAAAAATATAAATATATTATCTCTTTTTATCTTTATTTTTATCATTATTAAAAATAAAATATTCTAGAGAATCTTTTTTCCTTCACGTGACTATCTGCGTCTGAATTAAGCGGTAAATTTTTATTTTCATTCACCCAATCGCTCATGTATCAAGTGGAGCGTACTCGCTGCTCTGTGCTCTGTATTAAATAAGTAATTTTTTTATTTTTCCCTCAGAAACCGGTCACCTACATTTTTGCATTAATCGTACGGCTCTTGATTAAGTTTCGGAAACCGTACAAATTCTGAGATCTTCGTCTCTTGGACCATTATTTGAACGCCCCATTTTAACCGCTGTTAATTTTTCTCGGGCGAATGTGGCCCCCACCCCAAAACGGGACGGCGAGGTTTAGAATCGACGCGCGAAGAGGAAACGCCCGACTGCGAAAATGCTGGATTCCGATTCCGGACCTTAAACAGTTTCCAGTCTGGCTATTTGGGGCTGAACAGCCCTCGTCACTCTCCACTCGCACCAGAATCCTGCGATGCATTCACTTCTCACTCTCGGTTCGGGTTGAATTCCCCATACATGCGTGCTCTTAGGTTAGATTTGTTTTGCTCGTGAAGCTTCTTGATTGAATTTTGACCTTGGAAGACCCATTTTTTCCGGTTGGGGGCAGGAGTGAACGTGCATTGCCGGAGGGAGATCCTGTATCGGAGGGCTTTCGTATTTTTGTAATTGAAGGGGCGGAGTTTTTTCTGGTGCCAGTTTTTCCCGCCTGATTACATGATGTCTAGTATTCATAACCAAAATATTGTTATGTTTTCTGATTGTACTTTTTCACTAGTTTGTTCGAAACGAAGGATTCAGATATTTATTTATTTTTTCCCTTATAAATCTTTAAATGCATGTCGGTATGTTTTGTATGATTCAAAACCTTTTTTTTTCACCGAGTACATACCTAGGGCTTGTTACCCCGATGGAGTTGTTTGTAAAAATAACCTAAACGATTTATATGCTTTTCATTGAGTTGTGTGGGTGCAAAACAAATTTGGGTTTTCCACTCTCTCCACTAACCCCTCTCCTCAAGCCCAAGCTCGAGCTCAGCAGACGTTTCGGTTTCGAATTTTCTTTAGAAGTTTTGAGAGCTGAATTATTATTTTTTAATTATTAATTTTTGATTATCCAAATATATTTGGACGGCCTTCAAGACCGAGGAGGAGAGAGGACTAGGGAGATGATAACTGGAGAAATCGGGTTGGTGCAAAATTGAAGTCATCCGTCGAGCTTGGTAAATGACACTATCCTGATTTCTACTCTAGTCCTTCCGGAACCCTGCGACATCTCTGATTGCTAACATTGCGGAACCCGAGTTCTCTACCAGATTATACTGTTGTGGCAATGAACTGGGTTTTAAAGGAGGGGACATGATCGGGAGTTTGTGTATTGTAGAAGGGTTTCAATCGGATTGGTTTTGATTTATGTTTTTTTTTATCTTTGGCTAGGTTTTGATTTGTGTATTGCGCATTTGTTCTGGGACACGAACCTAGTTTTGTTCTTTCCGTATTGTGCATTTGTTCTGAGACACGAACCTGGTTTTGTTCTTGTGAATTGTGCATCTGTTGAAACATGATTGGTATTGATTTGTGCATCTGTTCCAAGTTTGAATGTTGTTGTTGAAATGAGCAAGTTTGAATCTGAGTTTGGATTGATTTACTGGACGAATTTGATTTTGGTTGGGGAAGAAGAGAAGACACAGAGGGCCGAAAGTTCTTGTTCTTGGTTAGAGGGGCATTTAGGACTTTTCACTTTTATATCTATTTTATTTAATTAAATATAAAAGTGAAATTTCTTTTACCTATTGATCATAGCATACCGAACAAATTCAGTGATCAAATTTCTAATAAGCTCCTTTCTAATTTATTCCATTCCTTTTTATGTTAGATGCAAGAATTTTGGAACATCTTTGCTCCCTTTCTATCTTACTGTTACCAATGTATGTACCATAATGGATTGCTTTATCTGGCTCTAATCTTCTTTTTCCTATTCTTTGACAGATTGTAGACTTGAACTGTTGTTGAGAGACTGAAGATGGCATGTTCTACTTGCTCATTTCAAAATAAATCCATGCATAAGTCCTTTTTGTTGCATTTAAGTCTTAATTCCTGAATCTAACTGTATTGCACAACTGCACATTTAGAGACTGACCAAGTGGTGGATTCATTTTTGAATCTGCTCTGTCTTGTGCTTTCTGTTTTCCCCCCTCAATCATTGTTTATATTTTTGCAACTTTGGTATCTCCTTTCCTATTAATGTATACTTATTTTGCAGGATGGAGATAATTCTGGTTTGGAGAGTGACAATTATGACTGGAATACTGAGGATGAGCTAGAAATTGAAAATTTTCAATCTTCATCTTCAAATTTAACTGTTCCTAATGGAGAGGCTATTTTTGGGTCTGGAGAAGTAAGTTTTTTGGCACTTGTCTTTCTCACATTCTAATTTTCTTATTAAGAAGTTGAATGTCTGAAAATCTAATTAAAGGGCTAACTATCATTTTTCTTCTTTCTATCTTTTTCCCCCTTTGGGTGGGTTTACTGATATAAAAAACAAAGACTTTGCCTCTTGCTCCCCTCCCTTTCTTCTTGGGTGACCTTAATATACAAGGTTATAGTATTCCTAGGTCAAAGTAGGATGCTGCAGGATGCATTTGTGTAATTTGTTACGCCATTATCTTTCTTTTGCTACTGCTATTAAATTTATGAATAGTCTATAACTTAATTGCGCACAGCAGAGTATTCAATTTTTTTTTTTTAAATTACGTGTTTGTGATGTTTGTTTGATGCCTGATTTGACTTTCTTGCAACTCACAAGAATCTATAAACTTGATGCACATATCTTCTTCATTCTCTTTTCTTTACCCTTGAAGGCAAGCTCATCTCCAGGTTCATCAAATTCCAAGATGTTCGATCACTTTGTTGGAATGGGATTTTCTGAAAAATTGGTTTCAAAAGTAATTCAGGAAAATGGTAAACCACTGTTTTACTCAAGCATGGGTTTTAGATATATCATTGAGATGGACAAGTAATTTTTGCTCATGAACATCCAGGGGAGGAAAATGCAGATTTACTTCTTGAAACACTTCTCACATTGTCGGTGAGTTGATAATTTCCTCTATTGATTAATACAATTTCTAGCTTGTTTCTTTTTTGTGCCAACTTTTATCAAGTTGTACCCTGCCATTTTCATCCTCTCATCTTCGCCCACCTAAATTTAAGAAACTGTTATGTGCTGTGTTTGTGCATATTTCAAACAAAATCTACTTGCTTATTTATATATTTGCATACTTAAATATCATACATATTTATATTTAGGTTAATGGAGGATAGTTAAGTGAAAAAAAAAATAAAACTGGACTAAAACGTATATTTTGAAAATAGAGGGTAAATTTGTATGATGGGAAAACTAATTTGTAGGTCCTTTTAGTTTTCATTGATTTTGAATTAGGTTTTTGTAGTATATTTCGTTTTAATCAAGTCCTTATAGTTTGATTGATTAAATATATTATTCCTTGAAAGTTAAAATTATTGATGAATGATTAGCTTTTCCAAGATAAAAATACTTTTAAAATTTATAGAAAAATTGATTTGAGAAAAAAATTAATTTAGTACAATGTTTACATTTTTTAAATTTTTGAAAATTCTATATATATACTCTTTCCGTTAAAAAATGTAAGGTATTTTTAATTGAGTTTCACTCTCCGATAAAATAGTTACTTGTCTTCAAAATAACCTTATCTTTTCATATTTACCCTTATGTAATAAGGTGTTTCACCTTAAAATAAATATAAAGTGATTTATTTAATGGAAGCACTTTTGAAAAAAAAAAAGACAATGATTACACTTTAAAAAGTTAAAAATGCCTTACATTTTTTAACATAGAGAGTATCAGTTATTTAGAAAAAATGGTGTAATTATATAAATTTTGAGTTATAAAAATCATGTAATTAATTTTTAAAGTTATGTAATCTTGTAATAAAAATATATAAATTGTTAATTTTATTTTTTAAAAGAAGAATTTTAAGAATTTTAACCCTTAGGGACTAACATATTTAATTGAACAAATTATAAAGGATTGATTAAAAACAAATAAACTATAAGGATGTAATTCAAAATTGAGAAAAACTAGAAGAATCCACAGATTATTAATTTTCTCTTGTATAATTAACTCACATTTTCTTTTCTTTTCTGTTCTTTTTTTGTGGTATGTTTCTTCTCATTAAGATGATAGCTTTTCAATCTATTCAATCTTTCCATATTTTCTATTCATTCTATTATTTTATTAATGGGTTCCCGTTGAAGAAAAGACTTGTATCCGAGCTCCTATTTACAAGGGTTGCTATGCTAAAATATAAGGACGTGCTTGGCACAATTTCATCTTCATTCAGGCTTCTAAGGTATTTGGGTATTTCATATACCTAATTAGATGCCTGTGTCCTGTGAATGGTTATGTAAATTTTAATGCCTACCTTGATACAGTCACAACTATATTTAAGCAATCACCAAGCATGGTCTGTGTGGTGCTGGTTTTGATGTGTGTGTGTGTGTCTTCCCCTTTATGGTAGAATACTGCCCCCAATACTGTCAGTTCTTTGAAGGTTTTAACAAATAAGTTTGCAATAGTTCACTTTAATTTGAGCTATGTATTTCTTCTCAACAGAATGGCTTAATTGTCTGTATATATACATGCTAAAATCAATTATAAGCCCAAAACCATAATTTTCATAAAAATATTTGAACAATCTTGTACATACCAAAATCAATTTTGAACTCAAAACCATTATTAATAAAATAGAGTTTATATGGTTTTTGGATAAATTTTTAGGGAAGTATAATTGAAAAGCTGAATTGAAAAACGTGTAATAGTATCTTATAACTATGGTTTTGGGTTCATATTGGCATATATAGGGGTGTTTGGATATTGTTAAGAAAACCTTAGTTTTTGGTTCATAAATGATTTTGACATGTAGAATGGTTATTTTTATATTTTAAAAAAATTATGGTTTTGAGTTTATAATTGATTTTGACATGTAATAGAATGTTTGGATATATTTTTACAAAACTATGGTTTTATTTGATTTTCAATTCGACTTTTTAGTTTTGCTTAAAATTAATGTTATTGGTCAATTTTATAAATCAATTATACCTCATAACATAATTAATTATATTCAGAATAAATTATATTAATCAGTTTTTTTCAACAGATATCCAAACAGACCCTATAGCATTTTGCATTTGCCTCCCTTTGTTCACTCTTCCCCTTCTTCTTTGGGTACTCTTTTGATCATTGACATTTTAAAATTCTGATCTGTTTATTCCACACATTTTGCTGGTGCTCATAAACATATGTTTCTTAGCATTTATTTTTACTAATTTACAGGCTTTGGATAGTTCTACTGAAAATGACAAGGAAATTGAATCCGACTTTTGCTCTTCAGATGTTGAAGGGAGTCCTCTTGATGATTGCTCAGATATTGATAGTTTCTCAGATGATGAGGTGGTTTTTGCTTTTCTTAGCTTTTTGTATTCAAACTTGTGAGTTAATTGATCTTTATGAGGATGTTAACTTTGTGTAATTTCAATTTTGTATATCTAGATGGGTTATTTTATCTTTTAAAAGATAGTGACAGTGATTATCCTTTTTTAGCATTAGTCAAATTAACATTTATATTATTACATTGAACATCTTGGAAACTTTTAAGATATCTTTTCCTCCTAGTTCATGGTGGGGGAAAAAAGCAAAATAGTTATTGTTTTTCATGCTTTCACTTATTTACACTACATGCATCTTTTGGACATCTGATATTTGGCATTGTTTTGGAGGCTGGAGCAATCTTTAGTTGCAGGTCTTATATGTAAAACCATGGCTGGCCAACTGCTACTTGTCTTGCAGGAATTTATGAAACCTGTATCTGAGAACAACGGTAAATTGAAGACCTTGGTGAAGATGGGTTACAATGTTCAGGAGGCTTCAGTTGCCATGGACAGATGTGGTGTGTACTAGGTTTCAATCTTGATTTGATATAGGTCTTAGCTAGTTATTTTTCCAAGGGATCAACACGTTTAACCACATAAATTAGGTTTAAAAGATTTAAATGGCCGATAAACTCTTAATTTTCCATTTTCTTGGCCCAATTTTTTTTTTTTTTGTTTTTTGGGGGTTAAATTGCCGCAGGTGTGGACGCCTCACTTGCAGAACTGACAGATTTTATTTGCGCTGCTCAAATGGCTAAGGCTGCAGATGCCCTTATGGCCCCTGAAGAGAAGGTAGTAGTAATTTGACATCTTAAGAACTGACACGATCAAAAATTATTTCAAGCATACCACTTTCTCAAATTTGTTTCTTTATTTTTTATGACGACTCACCATCTATTGTGTTAATTTTGTTTTTTTCCTCATATATTAGGATTGACAATTACTGGTTTTAAATATTTTCCCAGCCACGATGCGGTGATCATACTAATAAAAAGAAGCGTAGTTATTATGAACGCGAGGTTTTGGGAAGGAAAAAACCAAGGGATTCTGAAAAAAGAACTTCTAATGAAGATGATGAGATGTTGCATATTCCAAAACCAATGTATGGTTTTGGGGTTCCTACAGACGAGACATTCTCTATAACACATAGAACACTTCCTGAGGCTGCCAGTGGACCTCCTTACTTCTACTATGAGAATGTTGCACTTGCACCTAAAGGTGTTTGGCAAACAATATCTAGATTCTTGTACGACATCCCACCTGAGTTTGTGGATTCAAAGTATTTCTGTGCAGCTGCCAGGAAAAGGGGCTATGTTCACAATCTCCCCATCCAAAACAGATTTCCTCTTCTTCCACTTCCAGCACGTACAATTCACGAGGCTTTGCCCCTAACAAAGAAATGGTGGCCCTCTTGGGATCAAAGGACCAAACTTAATTGTTTGCAAACAGCTATTGGCAGCGCAAAACTAACAGAGAGGATTAGGAAGGCTCTAGAAAGATATGAAGGGGATCCACCATTACATATCCAAAAGAATGTTCTTGATGAATGTCGGAAATGGAATCTTGTTTGGGTGGGAAGGAATAAGGTTGCCCCACTGGAGCCTGATGAAGTAGAAATGCTTTTAGGTTTCCCCAGGAATCACACTAGAGGAGGTGGAATTAGTAGGACTGACAGGTATAAATCACTGGGCAATTCATTCCAGGTATGCAAATTTTATCTTCTATGCTAACTCTGGAGTCTGGATCCATTTATATCCGTCAATTCATATCCTGACCGATCATGGAGAGAAGAGTTGTTTTAAATTAGAACTATCTACAATGTACTGAGAAGAAAATTGTGAGACTTGTGGAAGTTGTATGCACACCCACAATTTATTTCTACTTTCTCCATAACCTTGAAAGGAGTCTTTCTGATTCTTGCAGCGATTTAGGGTGATGGGTTCTCATGTTGTTTTCAGGTTGACACTGTGGCATACCACCTGTCAGTTCTCAAGGACTTGTACCCCAATGGCATCAATCTTCTCTCTCTGTTTTCTGGAATCGGTGGTGCAGAAGTAGCTCTTTATCGGCTTGGCATTCCTCTTAGGAATGTTGTTTCAGTTGAGAAATCAGAGGTGAACAGGAACATAGTCAGAAGCTGGTGGGAGCAAACAAATCAGAAAGGAACTTTAATTGACTATGACGATGTACAGCTGCTAAATGGTGATCGGTTGGAGGCCCTGATAAACACTTTTGGGGGTTTTGATCTTATTGTTGGTGGGAGTCCGTGTAATAACCTAGCTGGTAGCAATAGAGTTAGCCGAGATGGCCTCGAGGGCAAAGAATCATCTCTCTTTTTTGATTACTGTCGTATTCTGGACTTGGTCAAATGTATAATGGCAAAAGGTCAATGACTTTTGTCAAGAGATCACCTGTGTTTATGCTATTGTGTTGGACTAATTTGGATCGTTCTATTTAAACTGGAAACTTTTGCCTGATTCATCTCCTCTCACCCACCCCAATCTCCCCTTTATTTTTATTTTTCTCTTTCACAGAGGACTGAAGGACTTCCTAAGAAATCATTTCCTTTCAATTTCATAGCTCCCACTTCTCAGTCTACTATTTCGTTATACTCTTGGAGTCGCAAACTTTCCGGATCAAGCTGCCCATCGCTTGCCAATAACAGCTAAATTGGCCCTTTGTGCATGGTATTTGATGTTTTCCTTAGTGCAGTGCGGAACTAATAGAAGCAAATTGTTTACCAGTCCTTCCGTTTTTAATTATTGATTAAATAAATTACATATTTTCCTAGGATAATGAAGTCGTTCGAGACAACAATTTTTTTTAATCATATTGGAAGATTTTGAACTCTTAAACATTTTAGATTATGTATTGGAAATATATAATTATTCGATCAGAGGAAAATATAAAAGCTTAACTATTTTTTATTTTATTTGAAATCTGACAGAGTATAAATATATAATAGTGATAGTGATTCTTATATACTCATTTTAATTTTTATTATATAACACTTTTAATCGTTTCATACATATTAAAAAAATTATTTTTTCTTTAATATTATAAAAAATTAAATATATTTTTATTTTTACATTTAACTTTAAATAATAATATCACTACATTAAATGCTTTCACATTGATCAAGAAAGGATAAAATTAAAAAAATAGTTTAATTATTATAAAGTATCTTATATTAAATAAAAAATTATTTTTAGAAAGTATTTTATAAATGAAACTGGACGTAAAATTTTTTACTTAAACTTTTAATTTTGATTATTGTTGTTGTTGTTATTTCTTATTACAATTATTATTAAGATTAGAAGAATATATTTTTTCAGTAAACTGGCCTAACCAGGGTCAAATGCAGGGCCGGGTAACAAGTTTACCGGGGCAACCGATGCTCATTGCCTTTCGGAATGGCGACGGCTAATATCTGTGATTTCTATAAATAACCACTCATCTCCCCCATCTTCTCTTCCTCCTCGCTCTACGCTTCCTGCCTTTTCGAAGCGTAGCCTTCCCCTCTTATCGATCCACTGCCCTTAAATCTGAACCTCTCACCATTAAAATTGCCAGTTCTGCGGAGAATCTACGACTCCTTCCCGCTTCCAGTTCTAAGGACCTTCAACTAACTTGCCAGGTACATTTTTTTCTTCTTACATTTTTAGAGTGTTGCGTAATCCCTCAGATCTGAATGTGAGGTTCCATGCGTAGCTCATGCATGTCCATCGCTACCGACCATGGCGGAGTAGAATGAAATCTAGGGTTTACAGTTTTGCCTTTTTGGTGTTTGTTTTGTGGTTCGCTTGATTTATGGCGATGTGTTTGTGCTGCATGTAGCAGCTTCATTTTTAGAGCTACTGAGAATTTGCCTAGAGATTTAGGTACTGGAGGTGCGATTTATATCGTCAATTTAGGTTGAAGGTTACCTAATGCTTTGGATTTCCCATCTTCAGTTTCTATTCCCTGTGGTGCGTAGCTGCAAGAATGACATTGTTCGTAGGTTTTGTTTCAATTTTTGGTGTTAATAGAACGTTTACATGGAATAAATTGAGATTTGACACGTAGTGAATATCCTTTAGCGTATTTCTTATTAAGACTCCGATGGTTGGATTACTCGTTTCTGCGTTTGTGTGCGGAATATTTACAGTTTAGTTGTGTAATAACGGATATGTAATAGCTAATTTGATTTCATAAAAATTCTAACGATATAAGTGCGGGCTATTATTCAAAGATCATTAATGAATTGATAGAACTTATTCTTAATTATCTTTTAGGTCGGTTTGTTATCACTATATTGCCTTTTCCCTTGCTATGGCTGCTACTGCAACAGCCTCTTCAGTGGGTCCAAGATATGCACCGCATGACCCAACACTTCCTAAACCATGGCGGGGACTTGTTGATGGTAAGACCGGTTATCTGTACTTTTGGAATCCCGAGACTAATGTCACCCAATATGAGAGGCCTACAATCTCAGCTACCTTGCCCAAGTCTTCTTCAGTGCCTAGTTCTTCAGTCCAGGTCCAACAATCATCACAAGGGCGTCGGGACCGCAGTCCTGATTTAGATGATAGGTATGGTAGAAGCAACGTTGGTGGATCAAATTCTGAAGCTGGATCTCGGAATCATCAGGTTTGTTCTCTACTGTCTTCATTGTGTGTTATTCTTCATTGTGGACGGACTGTTATTAGCAATTGCATTTATCTACTTGGAAAATGATTTAAAATGATTCTGTTTTACCATGAGAAATGTACGGAGCAATTTGATTCTTTCATTTTCCTTGGTGGGTTCTAATCCTATCCTTAGCTATTTGATTCTGTGCATCAACGTCTCTCTTCATCCTACTTTATCTTTGGGACTAATTTTCCATATCTCTTATTTTGAATTAGAATCCAAAAGGTGGGAGTTTCAGTTCTCATAATGTTCCAAATGGAATGCACATGACTGGAAATGTCATCTCTTCTATCAAAAGTGGATTATCAGATGCAGGAGTTGGATTAACTCCAGAGTCTTATCGACGTCGCCATGAAATAACTGTTTCTGTGAGTATAAACTATAATTATACTTCGCTACTTTGTTATGCTCACTATTAAAAGAATTTTGTAAACTGGAATTGATTTTAGAGATGGCTAATGATGTTAAGTAAAGTTCTTCAAATAATCATCGTATTCATTTTTCCCCAATTTTATAGCTTTATGTGGTTATTTCTACTATTTTGACAGGGAGATAATGTTCCTCCACCTTTCATGTCCTTTGGCTCTACTGGCTTTCCGTCAGAGATTCTTAGAGAGGTATCAGATTCTGTCTTGCTGTCTTCTTTTGCCATCATCTTTTGATAATGATAGTTAGAGGGACCTAAGTTTCTTGAGTTAAGTGACCTGAGTGATTCTTCAGCAGCACTCTGATTCCTGGAGATCAATTAAGTTTCAGGCTCATGATAAGTTTTTTGCCATCTTTACTTTTTTGACGTAGGTGCGATATTCGCTCCTGGGGAGGAGCTAATGTCGTACGCTGTGGTGCCCTAATTTGTGGGGCTAGCAATTAGTTTGGAGCGCCCTTGTATGGTGGACCAATTTTTTGGAAGGGCTTTCCGAATCATCCAAGTTCGTGGCTGGGACTGCTGTTGGTCATGATTCAGTCTGCCACTTTGTCTGCACGGAAGAAGAGGCCTCCTCATGCGCTAGCTTGCATCAGCAAGCATTGGTGGTTTGCATATGGGGGATGATACTTCTTCCGGCACTTACCACTCCTCTATAAGTACCAAAAGAAAACCAATCTCCTGGATTTTCCTTTTTCCAGGTACACAATGCTGGGTTCTCTGCCCCAACACCCATTCAGGCACAGTCATGGCCCATTGCTCTTCAAAGTAGAGATATAGTTGCCATTGCCAAAACAGGTTCAGGGAAAACCCTGGGATATTTAATTCCAGGTTTCATCCATCTCAAACGTGTTGGCAGTGACTCCAAATTGGGCCCCACTGTATTGGTACTGTCACCGACTAGGGAGCTGGCAACACAGATACAAGATGAAGCTGTGAAGTTTGCAAAATCATCTAGAATTTCTTGTGCAGTAAGTTGCTTGGTTATTTTAGTGTTTCTCTTGATAGTGCTTTAATGCATCTGCATGGAAACCATAGAAAATGATTATTTTGATCCTTTGTAAATTTGAGAATATGAAATAAGCTTCAAGGTCCAAGCGTCATTGTTAAGTTGATTGCTGAATGAACTGGGCTTTTGTTTTTTTGTGTGTGTGTGTGTGTGTGTGTGTGTGTATTTGTTTCTCCTATTATATTCTTCCAACCTGGAATATGCTGTCATGTTGGGATAGTTTGCCTTGCAAGCAAGATGAAAACCAACTTTTTGTTGTTGAAAGTCCTTGAGTTGATTGGACCCTGTGTGTCATATTTTCCCTTCTGTTTTTTTTTTTTTTGGGATAGTGTTTGTATGGGGGAGCACCAAAGGGTCCTCAATTGAGAGACATTGACCGAGGAGCAGATATTGTGGTTGCCACTCCTGGCCGCTTGAATGATATTCTTGAGATGAGAAGAATTAGTCTTCATCAGGTGTCTTACCTTGTACTAGATGAAGCTGACCGTATGCTGGATATGGGTTTTGAACCTCAAATCAGGAAGGTTGTGAAGGAAGTGCCTGCACGGCGGCAAACCCTCATGTTTACTGCAACCTGGCCTAAGGAGGTCAGGAAAATTGCAGCTGATTTGCTGGTCAATCCTGTTCAGGTTAACATTGGCAATGTTGATGAGCTTGTTGCTAATAAGTCCATTACACAGGTCTGTATTCAACTTCCTATGGTTTGGTGCAATTTGAATCTTCGTTTCATTGAATTGCATGTTGATATCTTGTGATTGCTATGAGAAGCTGTATAGTCAATAAATTATCAAATGGTGGGATTTTTTTGACAGCATATAGAAGTATTGGCACCAATGGAGAAACACAGACGATTGGAGCAAATATTGCGGTCGCAGGATCCAGGATCAAAAATAATTATTTTTTGCTCTACCAAGAAGATGTGTGATCAACTTGCTCGTAATCTTACACGCCAATTCGGTGCTGCTGCCATTCATGGGGATAAATCCCAGGCTGAGAGGGATCATGTGTTGAACCAATTTCGAACTGGGAGATCTCCTGTGCTTGTAGCAACAGATGTTGCAGCTCGAGGATTGGACATCAAAGATATTAGGTTTTTTACTCTGTTTTATTGTGTGTCTATTATTCTTAGGGCATAGTAGGTTTTTCCTGCTAACCAGTTTACCGGCCTTGAGCTTGAATTTTGTACTTTTCACCACATCTGATGATGACAATCAATTTGTTTCAGGGTTGTTGTCAACTATGACTTCCCAACTGGTGTGGAGGACTATGTTCATAGGATTGGAAGGACAGGGAGGGCAGGAGCCACTGGCTTGGCATACACGTTTTTTGGAGATCAGGATGCTAAACATGCTTCAGATCTTGTCAAAATCTTGGAAGGTGCAAATCAGCAAGTACCACCAGCACTCCATGATTTGGCATCACGTGGTGGTGGGATGAACAGATCCAGGCGATGGGGTTCTGGTGTTCGTGGTGGACGCAGCGATTCTGGATATGGAGGAAGGGGTAATGACTCTGGATACGGTGGAAGGGGTAATGATTCTGGATATGGTGGAAGGGGTAGTGATTCTGGATATGGTGGAAGGGGTGGGTTGGGAGCCACTCCTGGTGGCCGAGGTGGAGGCCGTGGATTTGACTATGATCTTCAGAGGTCAGTTTACCATGTTAGTGCTGTCTTCAAAATGAAAGCTGTCTTTATTTTCTATTGTAATTCCAGTAATTGGTTTTGTTCAGAGTTCTTGGGAGTTTTTTTTTCTAAGAATAGTTCTTGGAGTTATTGTAGTTTTTCAAGTTGATGAGAACATATTTTGTGGTGTAAGGAATGATCGAAGTCACTACGGACAAGATGCAGATACCCATGAGAAGTATGATAAAGGACAGAGTCGTAGCAGGAGCCCTGATAGGAGCAGAAGCTTCTACCGTGAACGCGGCCGGAGTCGAAGTCCCAACAGGCATGAAAGGGCTGCACCACCTTCGCAAGGCTTTAGTTTTCATCATGCAATCATGGAGCATAAAGGGGGCAGTGATCATGACAAGAGCTTTGATCAAGATAGAAACAGGAGTCGCAGCCCTGTTAAGCATGACAGGGCTCCATCTGGCCAAGAACGTTCCCCAGTTTATAGTTTTCATCAAATGATGATGGAACGTGGCCAGCCATCTGGCTCATCTAGGCAGCAGCGTGTCAGTGATGGCAGTAAAGATGACAGAAGTTCAAGATACACTTATAGTACTTACCGGACTAGCTCACCATCCTCCCCAGGTGGTGGCATGTCCGAGAAAGGTACTCGTAAAGAGTGGGGAAGATCTCCCAGAGGTAAGTTGGATGATGGGAGATATGGTGGGGAAGAGGAGGAGGGGATGATTCCTGATGAAGGCGAGGGTACTTGTTAAGAATTGCGGCTATTCCCGTCTTGCTATATGTTTCTACACGTTTGGTTTATTTTGGTTACCTGCCTATTTTTTGTAGTCGAGGTAGTGGGGTTCAGGCAAAATGTATTTTTTAGTGGATGGAGATGAAAGTGTGGTGGAAACAGCAAAACTTGAACCTAGTATCAAATGTTCGATCTTTATCTGGTAAAATTCTGATTCTTACACACACACACACTTATATATAGCCCAATATTCATTGTTTCCATACAGTTGTGATTTTAGAGTCTTGGAATATGTGGGACAGCTGATTTTATTTGCCCAGTTATGACGTTCTGAATATAGTCTACCTCTGAGGATCCTAAAGCACGGGATTAGCTGTGTTGGTTATATAATTATTTGCCAACCAGTGATCTACACTTCTAATATTATAGTTGTGAGAAACAACAATAATCCATAGAGATCATAAAAGCTCAGTGGTCGAGCTACATAGAGGGAGGCAAAATGGCAGATGCACCGTCGCTAAATTTAGTATATAGGTGTTAACATGATTAAAGACTTGATTTGTTCTTACTTTTTTTTTTTTTTCAGTATTACTGGATGCCTATAATGATGTAGTGAAGGGTAAGACAATATACCCTTAAAGGAGTAATTTTTTAAGGAACAATATTACCCTTTCATTAAATATATGTTAATTTAATTATTAGTTGGTTCAAAAAATTACAAAGAAAAACTTAAAAAATTGTAAAAAATAACCTAGAAAGTTACCAAAAATATTTTTGTGAAAAAATTAATACGGATTAAGTTTTTTAAATGACAAATAAATTTCAGCAGATTAAAAGTGTTAAATTGCCATTACTAGTAACAACGCGGATAACTAATTAAAAATATTAATTTTTAAATAATAATTTATTAGAATAATAATATTTTAATATTTAATATTTTTTTGTTAAAAAATATAAAGTAATTTTCAAGGGAATTGATGTTAAAAATATTTCAAGGTGTAGTCATTAATTTTATTTTAAAAGTATCGTTATTGAATAAATTATTTTATATTTATTTTAGGGTGAAACATTCTATTAAATAAAAATAAATATAAAAATATATAGTTAGTTTGAAAACAAGTAACTATTTTATTGAAAGTATGATTTAATTAAAAATATTTTATATTTTTTAATAGAAGTAGTAATTTAAATATTATTATACAATTGATAAGTCACTTTTGAATATATACAAATTTTTAAGGGAAAAAACTTATCAATTTTTAAAGAAGATAAAGACAGACCTAGGTCTGAGAAATAGGGCAGCTACCCCTATTGATACCAATATCATGTCTTAGTAGTGATTCCAAAAAATTGTCCCCCACCTCTAAAAATAAACATTCACATTTGGTGCTCATCATAAATACTCATCAAGGTTAAGAGCAATTCTAGCTCTTTATATCAACCTAAATTGATCCTTGCCATCCATTTAAATTAATTTTTAAATATTTTTAATGTTATATATATTAAAATACAAAATATAAAAAATTTTAATATTATATCTAGACATTTAGTAGAACTAGAAAATAAGTCAAATTCAATGGGTCAACCCATTTAAGCTCGCTTACCAGAAGGGTCGAGCTTGCATATAAGACTTTAAAATTATAAATTGAGTTTAAACGAGTTAGCTCTAATGGGCTCCATTTTAAACTAACTTAAATGGCCTAGCCTACATGATCAAGAGCCAGCTTGTTTAAACTCATACATATATTTTTTATTTTCATATAATAAAAATAACTCCAAATTTCCTCACTATCTCCTAATTGGCAACCCTAATCTAAGTTAAACCAGAACAGAGATAAGAGTCTAGAGTCCAGAACCAATGGAACAACAATTCTAGTCTTCTAGATCTCAATCTCATGCTCTCAATCGATAATAGCATTTGGCCCCATAGTCAACGTTCATGATGCACTCCCATAACATTCTTTTCTTCATTGCTCATTTTTTTTATTTAAGCATCTGATCTAAAACAAACTTAAACCATGGCAATGTCCATATGGTCTAAGCTTAGTCACCTCTCAATCTCAATATCTCTATCCCTCTTAATTATATCTTAAAGGTCACACACAAGCATTATTGTTTGATTCGCATCCAAGTAAGTAACATTTGGTTGATTTTTTTTTTGGGACAAGGAATAGATTTGATAATTATATTTATTTTACAATTTTTATCATATTTTTTTTCTTAATTTTATGTATTTATTAAAAGAAAAAAATGAAAATAAGTAGAAGGGCCTAAAATTTGTAGGGCCTACCTTAGGCTTGCTATCCTAAGGGCCAAGCTTTGTAATTGGAGGTTATAAAAGGAAAATGGGCTTTTCAAGCTCAACTTTTTTAAGCCCTAACCTGTCAAGGGCTAACTCTTTAAGGTCGAATTAGCCTGTTTTTCCAATTCTACCATTTAAAGTATATTTAAATGGTTAATTTATAAAATTTATAATTTTTTAATATTAAATTAGGTCATTTAAATTTTATCTGAACTATTTAGAGTTTATGTGAACTATCAAATTATAAAACTATAAATTTTTTTAATATTAAAATGGACTGCTAGATTAAATCTGCGTTAGCCAAATTGATAATGAACAGATTATTAAAATTTTAATTTTTTATATTCTTTATATTCATAAATATAATATATAAAAATTAATTTAAATAGATGGCAGAATTAATTTAAATTGAAATGGAGGGTCAGGATTGCTCCTAGCCCTAATAAACATGTGGCATCAAATGTAAATCCCAAAAATAATATGACTCTTGCATCCCTTAAATTGTTTAAAATTTTTAATATGCACTTTTTATTGCTTGAAAATTTTCTCACTCATTCAATTAAAGAGGTTAATATGATTTTTATTACTGATTTTATAGGAGATAGAGGCATAGAAACTTGGTTCAACATTCATTTTATAAATATAAGAATAAAATAAAATATTGTCAAATGTTTTTTCAACTTCTCAAATAAAATATTGATCTTTATTTCTAAAATATAATGAGGCCAAACTCTTTAATTTTTAATATATACTCATTCATACCCTAAGGTAACACAGTCTAATGAAAGAGAAAATATTTTTAGTAGTTTATATTGAAAATATTTGCTTTAAAAGATCATGATTATATGCATTAAAAAAGAGTATCAGGAAATGATATGAATAGCTAACACTTATTCTATCATTCTTAATATAATTTTTTTCTTTATATTAAGATAATTTTTAAAATTTATTATAATTTTATAGTTGTTTTACTATTTCTCATGTATTTAATTTAAATTTTTTATTAATGTGATAAATATTTATAATTATATTTAAAAAATATTAATATTGTTTGATATAAATTTTGCCCCCACTAACAAAATTTTCTAGGTCCACCATTGGAAGAAGGCCTATACTTTATCATGCTATTTTAATTTACAAATCAGCTACAAATTTTAAAAATAAAAAGTTTAGCTGATAATATTAAAAGGTGATTTATAAACTTTGAATGAATATTTATACATTATAATATTTTAATTATTAAACATTAGAATATTTGAACATTTTAACATGATTTTATTAAAATAAATACAATATTTTTTAAATACTAATCGATGTTTCTAGCATTGATGATTTGATAATTATCTGGTAGTCAATTAAAGTTATTGGTTAAAATAATATTTTTCATATTTTATACAAGTAAAAAATAATATTAATCTATTAAATTTTTTTTGTAATAATTTAAAGAGCTTAATTAATACTAATTTTCTTATAAGATCTTTTTTATTTTTATAATTTTTTAGGTTCTTCTTTGTATTTTTTTGTGCCAACATTGTTCAAATTTGTGAATATTTAATAGAGATGCAATATTGTTTCTTCGAATAATTATTCAGGAGGTATTGTCCCACCATTCGCTATTTAAAAAAAAAAAGTTTAAAAGTGAATTAAATCTTTAACCATTAACATTTTGTATTTATATCCTTGAAATTTTAAAGCATGTTTTCTTAAGTTTTACTCTTTCCATCCCAATTCATAAAATAATTTTTGACAAAATTATATATACTAATAAAATTCATTAAATACACTTTAAAATTCTTTTAAAAGCACAAATATAAATTTTTAAAAATACTTTTCATTTAATGTAATATTTTTTGCCAAACATTAAATAGAGAGAATTTAAAAAGGTGTGAAAAAAATATAACTAATAAAACCTTATTTTATTAGAGTGTATTACATTTTATAATGCCAAATTACTTTTACAAGTATCTTCTAAATTAGGATAAATTGAATATTATTTTACACCACATGCTTTCAGTTTTAAGATTTTGCATCTGTCACTTAGGGGGGCGGGCAGTTCCTTTTCTCATTCCCTTTCTTCTTTATTTTTGCCCACCCCATTTCCATGTCCTTTAATTATTTTGTAAAATAATTATGAAAATATCATATAATAAATAAAAAAATAAATTTAAACCATTAAAATTTGACTCGCACATAGCTGTACAATGCTGTTAAAATTTTTTATGAATTAAATTTTTATCTATTTCATTGCAATTATAATAGTGCAGGCCAAATTTAATCGTTTAAAATTATTCATTTATCTTTTAAAATAATATGATGATAATTGTTTTATGAAATAATTAAATATCAACCATTCATTCTTGGTCAAAACGTGGATATAGGATGAGAAAAAGAAAACGAGAAAGGGGGATGAGGAGAGAATTGGGTCCCGATGGGTCCTAGTTTCATCACTACATAAACTTGTACAATTAATTACATATGAAATGTTATGTTATTACCCGATTAATCTTGCAATTATGGGAGACAGGGTTCGAACTACATATAATAAGTAGAAAAGGTACTCCAATATTTCAAAACTTATATTTTACTAAATAATTGTAGGTAAAAAAGCAAAATTGACCTCTAAATTATAGAATTCATGAATATTGGGATTCTAAACTTATTTTTTATATACTGTTAAAATTTTTTATGAATTAAATTTGTATCTATTTCATTGCAATTATAATAGTGCAGGCCAAATTTAATCGTTTTAAAATTATTCATTTATCTTTTAAAAATAATATGATGATAATTGTTTTATGAAATGATTAAATATCAACCATTCATTCTTGGTCAAAACGTGGATATAGGATGAGAAAAAGAAAACGAGAAAGGGGGATGAGGAGGAATTTGGGTCCCGATGGGTCCTA